TGCAGGTTAAGGTGTGTGACTGTAACGTTCTGTCACAGGTAAAACAGCCCTGTCCAAGGTGCTGATTCTGACCTGTACAGTGTGAGCAGCCCTAACACTGAGATTCTGTACTTCCATACTTAAAAGTAGTAAATTTGGTTGACAATGAAGAACCATATTTTCTATTTCAAACTGCACAAATTTCCAGACATCTAGCAACAAGCAGTAATAATAATAATAATAATAATAATAATAAAGCTTGAATGCAAGTGTTGTTGGTAAATGTAAACTCATTAATTATTCATTAGCGTCAGTGGACACCCTTCATTTTTAAAAAGAGCTTTGTAAGCCCCTCCCTCACTGTGGCCCAGAACTCCACACTGTACATCTTACATATAATACTGTACAAATGTCTCTACCGTCCTGTAATATACTGTAATAGTAGTTGACTGTATGTGTCCTCAGACCCTTCAGACATGTATAAATCTTTTTTCGCTCTTTTCACACTGAATCTATTATATCTGCTCTCTTGTAAATTATTCTGTTTATATTCCCATTTTATTTTATTTCTTATTTATTCATTTATTACTCTTTAGTTAACATCTTATTTCTTTGAAAAGGTGAAGACTGTTTGTGCTTATTTGTCTTTTTAGTGATTCTGATTATCAAATAAAGAAAACATATGTTAGTGTAGGGTCTGTTAAAATGTAACAGAACTTACTGTATTTTTGTAGTGTGAGAGTAACTAGTGCTGAGACTATCACTATGACATGAATTAATTTAGCTAATTAACATGAAAAAAGTTGGAATCGATTACAATGTGTGTCTTTAATTTCTAAATATTTCATTATATAAACTGTGTGGTTTTATTGGCAGATCATCTGAAGTGAATTGAGCTCAAAAATTTCCATGTGACTGTAAGATTAGGAAGGTTATCAGGCATTTTCCTTCCTTAGCTCTTCTGCCTTCTTTTTAATCTTTTTGAATTAATTTTTTTGTGATCTCTGTGCAGCATCCAGCAGGGGGCAACCCAACACATAACTTTCCTTTATGCCTCTCAGGTTCATCAGCAAGTTACAGCAACAACCATGACATACGGTGAAAGTTCTGTGCACATCTACAGTCCACTTTGTCAGTAAAAGCAAGTCTTTTTTATATACTGAGGCTCTGTATGGGACTTTTCTCAAAAACAAACAAATCAATAAAAAAAAAGTCATCATGTGTTTTCCCTGTGTTGCGTTTTAGCATTCATTGCAACATTTTTTGATGTACAGCGGACTTCACACTTAATGGTACACAAAAATGAACAAACAAACCAAACAAATTGTCAGAAATAAAAAAGCATGATTAGCAACAGCCTAACAAGCACTGAGGACATACTGTGAGTTTTCACACATCGTGACGCAGCACTGTGGGTTACTGTAATTAAGCAGGGGGAAGTTGACCTTCCAGTAAATCTTACAGCAGCTGCAAGTAAAACGTCTTCAGCTGTCAGACTCTCTTCACTCCAAAGTCAAACTCTCTTCACTGCAAAGTTTTTGTACTTTCCTCTGAAGGCCATATACAGAGATGGTGAGTTAACATTCAATATAATCTCCTGTCTTTAAGACTTGCTGAACTGTCAGTCGTTGCTTGTTTAGAACACGTCAGTAATGTGAACACTTACATTTTAACCCATTCTAACCTTTTTAGATGTGCTCACCAATGCTGCTGTGGGCATCAGTGAAAACAGTTGGGCTGCTTTTTCTTGCCATACCAGGTGAGTATTTTTTATCTGTTTTCTTTACGTTTTCAATACAACAATTGTTGAAATTGAAACAATTTCAATTTCATTTTCACTTGGAATATTTCCTGTGATAGTTCCTTTGTTTTTTCTGACCATGTGCTGGAGTACAGTAGTTTTGTGGGTCACAGACATCCCCAAGAGCAATGTGTTTTATATATTAATTAATTTATTTATTTAAGCATGAACTTTTTAAAATACTGCTATCAGTCAATCCATCTTTACATGTTACACCCTCCTGCCCTTCCTTTATTTAAATTCTGGTGGCCATAGTGTACAAGGTACTCATTTTTCAGCATCAAGAAAGCATAGATTTAAAAGAAAATTACACTGAAGCCTCAACAACTAAATACAATATCAACTTAGTGAGTGTTTCAGTAGTTAAGGTCCACCATATGCTTTTATGAGACCTCACTGTCTGAGGGATGGGCTTTCAGTTTTTTAAAGAAATCTGCAGGGATATTTTACCACTTCTCCAAAGTTTAGTCTTACAAGTGGGTTGAATTTTCTGCTAATCGCAATCCAAGTAATTCCAAACACATTCAGTGATGTTGAGGTCATGTTTTAACTGAGAATAAAACTCATGTAAATCAACCCCTTAAAATCCCAGGCTTATTACACACTAATTATTAACTTATTATTGAGTAACTACACGGACTTCAATGTAAATAAGTGTAATAAAAACTTTGGACCTGCCGGCAGACCCTGGCTATTTAAGGGGTTAAAAAAGTTGATTATTGAGCTGCCCTAAAATTGTCTTAAAGTTACCAAAGTTCAAATAATTAATAATTTTATAAGTTGACAGGGCATAAACGCAGATTCTTGTTCTGTTAACTTAAGTTCAATTAACTCAACATTTTAAGCTGGCAACTTTTTTTCATCTTGTAATGAGAAAATGCTCTTAAAATATAATTATATAAGAAAAAGTAAATCTCTCTGGGTGTTTCAGGGTCTCTGGGTCAGGATCGGAGCGTTACTCACATCCCAAGCAAAATATGTGCACTTCATCACACCTCTGTGGTGTTACCCTGCAAACTCACTTACCCTAGTGGTGAAGTGGTCACCACCTCTGTATGGCACTATAAGAAGCAGAAGAATGTGGAGCCTGTGGTTGTTTCTGTGGTCCAGGCGTTTGGACAACATGTGGAGGACTGCTCTCTCACCCTGAATAATGTGACGCAGGACAATGCTGGCATCTATCAGTTTAGCTTCATGACCAACAGCTCCACACAGAACCTGACCAATGAAGACGGAGTAACGCTGGAGATTACAGGTGAGGAACTTACTCATCAAGCATCAATCTTTATTACCATTTTTACTATTTCACCAGTGACTCATACTCACTTGAGTCTCCAATATGAGGACACACTACAAGCTGTATACATTATTGTGCTGCCATCTAGTGGTATTGGTAGGAAAACAAAGGACTAGTGGGGTTGTTAGATATACAAATGTCAGCATTAAATAAATAAACTCTGTTGTCTTTAAGTCACTCGTGTATGTAAAATGGACAAAAATGAAAGTACATTTCAAAGAGATTTCCATTCCAATGAAACCCAAATGAACTGCACTGAAATGTTTCAATTTGGTTCCAACAATAATTGAACTTTACATTAAGGTAACACAGTCTATGTATACTTCTATTTGATTGAATAAATAAGTTGGCATAATTGACTTATGTTCATACAACAAATTCATTTTTTGAGTGTGCAACAGCGTAATGTGCTACATAATGTGTTTATAAATGATGGCACCCGTCTCAGCCACCTTTTGGGAGAAATAGGTAGTGAACAAAACTGTGGCACGTTGGGTGGCACTGTCACGTCACAGCAAGAAGGGCCTGGGTTCGATTCCCCAGCTGGGTGACCTGGGTCCTCTCGGTGTGGAGTTTGTATGTTCTCCCTGTGCCTGTATGGGTTTCCTCCCACAGTCCAAAGACGTGCAGTCAGGCCCTATGAGTGAATGTATATGTCTGAGTGTCTGGCCTGTGATGGACTGGCAGCCTGTCCAGGGTGTTTTCTGCCTTCTGCCCAATGACTGCTGCGATGGGTGGTAATTTGATGCTTTCAAATGAGATTTATGAGCCAGCGTAGATTTAAATGTGGTACTTCTACAAGGACAATGGGACAAAGTTCCTGTAAAGTTCAGGTGTACCTATTACCTAGCAACACAGGTGTAGACTAATACAACGTTAATATTGAAACACACAACCAATATGAGCCTGTTTATGTACTTCAGTTTGTTATTTTGCATATTATGTGAACACATAGCATATTCTATATGAAACTACTTCCCTTTCAATTATATCCTTATTTTTATACAACTTACCATTTTGGCTGGAGCAACAAGTTAGAAATACTGTACAAAAACAGGGTCATCAGCGGATGAATGGATAACTGTACTTTCTGTTTTTTAGACCCATATGAAAGGCTGAGTTCTCCTTCAATGTCTTGGTTCCTCTTAGTGTTTCTTCCTCATGCTTCTTGGGTGCTTTTTTCCAGTCTGATTGCTGATTAATGGGCTGCATTATTTCCTACACTACAAATAAAACTGAAGTGACCTAAATTTTTGCATTTTATGCCCAAGTGAGAAAATAGTTGGAGTAATAATAGTAGTATGTGAAAATTAGCGGTCAACAATTGATCTTGTGAATTTCAAATCATTCTCATTGTTGCTTTTCATTTGTTACTGGCATGTTTCCATTTTATGATGCAACTGATGCAATCTTTAATGCAGACCTGGAGATGGAGATGTCAGAGTCAGACGTAGTGTTGGAGGGAGAATGGGTGACACTGTTCTGTGGCACCTGCATCCCTTCCCTCACTCTACCGACCTACTTCTGGCATAAAGACGGACGTCCACACAGCCGCACACATGGTGTCAACCAGCTGGAGTTACAGGAGGCCAAACTGGAGGACTCAGGCAGCTACTCATGCTCCATAGGTGGCCATGAAGGCCTGCTCTCCTCACTTGTGAACTTCACGGTTGAATGTAAGTCAAGTTCAACCATGATATAGGACTCAAAGACAGTGTTGATATTGAAAGCTCAAATTATGGTAATAAGCATCTTTATTACACTGTACTATGATTTGTCTCTCACAGTTAATCTTCAAAGCTGTTTAAAAATAATGTTGAAATAATGTATAAATATATATTTTTTAATATTTAAATGATTTATAAACCTAAATATAGTATAAGTATATACTAAGTATACTAAGTATATAATTATCTAAATCAGGGGCTCCAAAGAACATCACAGTGTCCATCAGTCCCTCTGGTAAAATAGTGGAGGGCAGTTCAGTGACTCTGAACTGCAGCAGTGATGCAAACCCACCTGTGAAGATCTACACTTGGTTGAAGGGATCAACATCAGTAGGAGAAGGAAAAACCTACAGCATTCCCAACATCAGATCTGAGGACAGTGGAGAATACACATGCCATTGTCGTAATGATCATGGACAGAGAAGATCTACTGCTGTGCAGATTAATGTTGCATGTGAGTTAATGTTTGATATTAAATTTGTGACAGGTCAGTCTCAGTCTGCCACTGACAGGAGCCCTGTCAGCCATCCTGTAGTCAGACCCAATGCCACCACTAGATGGGAGCAGAGAGCCACCTCTAGGTAATTAGAGACAACTGGTCACACCTGTGTTCAGCTCTACTTAGCCCCACTTTCAGATTAATTTTTGGGTGGTGATGTAGTTCAGTTGGCTGCACATTGGTTGGTGACCCTCTAGGCCACGCTTTAATCCCAGAGTGGGGTATTTCTTGGTTTCTCCTCATTGGAGTAGTGTTAGTCAAGGCTTCTCCCTGGCACCTGGGCCAGCATTTCTAGACTGTTTAGTGATGCTATTTGTTTTGTTTTTTCACTGCCACCTGCCCTTGTGCTCTGCTATTGAAGTTACTCTCTGTTCACAGCCAGTGGTTCAACCAGCAATGTTTTGGCCTCCCATACCTGGAGGCCTGGGTGCAGTTCCAGCTCTAGGTGAATCCTGTTACAAAGTTAAAATTGAGTGAAACTCAGGAAACGTAAACACTGGGGGCAGTCATGGGCCGGAGGTTGGAGAACCATCCTTGTGATGTGACCGCAAGATTCAGTCCCCTGAGCCGAGAGTACATGACTGAGGTGTACTTGAGCAAGGCACCCTAACCCCCAACTGCTCCCTGGGTGTTGCAGATAGGGCTGCCCACCACTCCGGGCAAGTGTGCTCACTGCCCCTAGTGTGTGTGTTCACTAGCGTGTATGTGGTTTTTCACTGCAAAGATGGGCTGGATTGCAGAGGTGAAATTTCCCTGTTGTGGGACTAATAAGGGTCACTTCATCTAATTAATAAATTTTTTATTTCTTAAATTTTTTATCTCTTGCAGATGCTCCAAAGGGCGTCTCAGTGTCCATCAGTCCCTCTGGTGAAATAGTGGAGGGCAGTTTAGTGACTCTGACCTGCAGCAGTGATGCAAACCCACCTGTGAAGAACTACACCTGGTTTAAGGGATCAACATCAGTAGGAGAAGGAAAAACCTACAGCATTTCCAACATCAGATCTGAGGACAGTGGAGAATACACATGCCAGAGTCGTAATGAACATGGAGAGAGAAACTCCACTGCTGTGCAGTTAAATGTTTTGTGTAAGTTCATGGATATTTGTTAAGCTATATTGGATTATTTCCTGGAACCCTGTGTTTTTAAAGATAATTGACTTTTCTTGCCTGTTTTAGATCCTCCAAAGAACATCACAGTCTCCATCAGTCCCTCTGGTGAAATAGTGGAGGGCAGTTCAGTGACTCTGACCTGCAGCAGTGATGCAAAGCCACCTGTGAAGATCTACACTTGGTTTAAGGGATTAGCATCCATAGGAAATGGAAAAACCTACAGCATTCCCAACAGCAGATATGAGGACAGTGGAGAATACACATGCCAGAGTCGGAATGAACATGGAGAGAGAAGATCCACTGCTGTGCAGTTAAATGTTGCATGTGAGTTAATGTTTGATATTAAGTTTGTGACAGGTCAGTCTCAGTCTGCCAATGGCAGGAGCCCTGTCAGACCCAATGCCACCACTAGATGGGAGCAGAGAGCCACCTTTAGGTAATTAGAGACAACTGGTCACACCTGTGTTCAGCTCCACTTAAGAGTGGCTCTTGATTTTTTCTGTGCTTAGTTGTGAGTTTGCATGCTATGTGCATGCACCTCTTGATCAAGCTGGTATTTGGGTTGTTGCTCTCAGTTTTCCCAGAGTTTGCTCCTGTCCCTCTAAGCATTGCTCTCGAGTCACTTGTGACAACAGTGTAAATTTTTAAAAAAAGAGAGAAATGAACGAATACAATAAGACAAAAAGAATAAAGTAAAAAAAAATGCTATTTCTCCTTTTTTTCATCTCTTTCTTGAGCCTTTGGCCAGCCCCACTTTCGGGGTAGTTTTTGAGTGGTGATGTATTTCATTTGGCTGTACACTGGTCGTGACCCTCTAGGCCATGGTTCAATCCCAGTGTTAGGTATTTCTTGGTTTCTCCTCTTTGGAGTAGTGTTAGTCAAGGCTTCTCCCTGGCACCTGGGTCAGCATTTCTAGACTGTTTAGTGATGCTATTTGTTTTGTTTTTTCACTGCCACCTGCCCTTGTGCTCTGCTATTGAAGTTACCCTCTGTTCACAGCCAGTGGTTCAACCAGCAATGTATTGGCCTCCCATACCTGGAGGCCTGGGTGCAGTTCCAGCTCTAGGTGAATCCTGTTACAAAGTTAAAATTGAGTGAAACTCAGGAAACGTAAATACTGGTGGCAGTCATGGGCCGGAGGTTGGAGAACCATCTTTGTGACCGGAACATCGCCAATTCGGTCCCCTAAAGCGCGTACATGACTGAGGTGTACTTGAGCAAGGCACCTAACCCCCAACTGCTCCCTGGGTGTTGCGGATAGGGCTGCCCACCACTCCGGGCAAGTGTGCTCACTGCCCCTAGTGTGTGTGTGTGTGTGTGTGTGTGTGTGTGTGTTCACTAGTGTGTATGTTGTGTTTCACTACATGGATGGGTTGGATTGCAGAGGTGAAATTTCCCCACAATAAGGGTCACTTCATCTAATTGATTAATTTTTTTATCTCTTGCAGATCCTCCAAAGAACATCACAGTGTCCATCAGTCCCTCTAGTGAAATAGTGGAGGGCAGTTCAGTGACTCTGACCTGCAGCAGTGATGCAAACCCACCTGTGAAGAACTACACCTGGTTTAAGGGATCAACATCAGTAGGAGAAGGAAAAACCTACCGCATTCCCAACATCAGATCTGAGGACAGTGGAGAATATACATGCCAGAGTCGTAATGAACATGGAGAGAGAAGATCTACTGCTGTGCATATTAATGTTGCATGTGAGTAACACTGAAAAAGAGAAGCACATAGGATCCAACTGCAAGCAGTCTTTCCAGTTCATTGATGTTAAACTAATGTTGACATTAAGGTGAGAGCAGAATGCCCTCCATATCTGCGAAGTGAACTGAGTCCCTCTGCCAGACACAATGTGTCCTCTGGTAGTCCATAAAACCTGTTTAGTTTTAGTATCTTGAGATGGGGGGTCTGTGACAAAATCAGCACTTGGGTAAGACCAAGCCCTGTGAGGCACAGGTAATTGTTCCAGGTGTCCAGCAGGGAGATGTCTGGGGGACTTGGATTGTGCACACACATTGCAGGCATTAAGATATTGTAAAACGTCAGTCTCCAGGGAAGCTAAAAACTTGCTTCTAACCAATGTAAGAGTATGTTGAATATCACGGCGTCCAGAACTTGGTAAAGTATGTAGCCAGTTCAGTAAGCGGTTCTGGATACATTGTGGAACATGCAGTTTTTCTGCAGGGCAGTCGGGAGGTACGGGATCTGATACCATGGTCTGGATTTCTTCCACTATGTCCCACTTGACTGGCTCGTATTAGAACCAAGAATGGATGCTGGGCCCTCTCTAACCAGTGTCTCCACTTTTCAAATGCTGCTTTCATGGCTAACAGTTCCCTATTGCCTGGATCATAATTTCGCTCAGTATCAGTTAGTTTCCTTGAAAAAAGGCACATGGGGCCAACTTGGGAGGATTGCCTATGTGCTGGGAAAGTATAGCTCCTATACCGCACTCCAAGGCATTCACCTCAACAACAAATGGAATGGTGGGGTCTGGATGTTTCAAGATGGGGGCTGAGGTAAACCGGTCTTTCAGTTCCTTAAATGCTATGGGAGCTGAATCATTCCATCATTCATAGCCCAGAAATGATACTCCTTGCTTGTGGAACTCACATTTCTCAGCTTTTACATAAAGGCCGTTTTAGGACCATTCTCAAATGTTCAATGTGCTCCTCCAAGTTAGACGAATGAATCAAAATGTCATCAATGTAAATGATAACCCACTTGTCTATCACATCCCTGTGCACTTCTTTAATGAAGTCCTGGAAAAGTGACAGGGCGATAGAGAGTCCACATGGCATTACTAAGTACTCATAGTGCTCTCTGATGGTGATGATGTCTTTCGCTCATCCCATTCTCTGATTCTAATGAGATTGTACACATTCTGGTGGTCTAGTTTAGTGAATATAGTAGATCTTCTAATTTGTTCTAAGGCTGCCGGCACCATAGGAAGGGGATAACAATACTTGACAGAGATAGCATCTGCTATAATCAACAAATGGCCTCAACCCCCCACCTTTTTTCTCATCATCCTCATTATCATCATCATCATCATCTTTAACTGCTTAGTCCAGAGCAGCAGTTGGGAGAACAAAGAATCCCAGATGACCCTGTCCCCCGCAACTTCCTCCAGCTCATTCCAGGGGACCGCGAGTTGCTCCCAGGCCAACTTGGAAATATAATCACTAGTGAGCCGTCATATCTCTCTGGTACAGCTATAAAGGTTTTGTTTCTCCCAAAGCTGCCGTGAGCACAGAAGCAGCGTCTGGTAAACCAGTATTATTTGAAGGTTCATCTACTGGAAGACCAGGATTGGCTGATGAGTCAAGCCACTGAACAACTTGAGTAAGTTCTTCCATTAGTGGCTCCTGAGGTACCTGACTTTCCTCAATACTTGCTGGATCCACGAAAGGCGAAATCTAGAAGAGAAGCAAGTAGGATCAAGTTGCAAGCAATCTGTATTTTCAAACAGGGTAATTTCACAGGTCGAAGGCCAAAGATAGTCCAGATAAAAAAGGGAAAAATCTGAGCACAGGCAAGTGTGAAAATCCAATGGGGCATAACAAGAAAGGGCAAGGCTCAGAACTGACAAAGAAACTTTAACAACAACTTTAACAGTAAATAAAAAAAACAAAGGCTATAAATAGGGAAACAGATTACAAAACAACATTCAGGGTGCAGTGAAACTATGTAAACAAAAGTGTATTATTTCTTTTCAAATTCTTGTGTTGCAGATGCTCCAAAAAATGTTTCAGTGTCTATCAGTCCCTCTAGTGAAATAGCGGAGGGCAGCTTAGTGACCCTGACCTGCAGTAGTGATGCAAACCCACCTGTGAAAAACTACGCCTGGTTTAAGGGATCAACATCAGTAGGAGAAGGAAAAACCTACAGCATTCCCAACATCAGATCTGAGGACAGTGGAGAATACACATGCCAGAGTCGGAATGATCATGGAGAGAGAAGATCCACTGCTGTGCAGTTAAATGTTCTGTGTATGTTGATGATTTCTAAGGTTTCATGAAGTTATTACCTGACACTTTCCTCAATGCTGTTTTTTACTGTTTGCTTTAGATCCTCCAGAAAACGTCTCTGTGTCCATCCGTCCCTCTGGTGAAATAGTGGAGGGGAGTTCAGTGACTCTGACCTGCAGCAGTGATGCAAACCCACCTGTGAAGATCTACACCTGGTTTAAAGAAGGTGGAACCTCACCTGTAGGATCTGGACAGAATTACAGCTTTAGCTTAAACCCCAGAAGTGGTGGGTTTTACTACTGTGAGGTTCTGAATGAATATGGATTTATAAGATCCGCTTCAGTGCCTGTTGTTTTAAATGGTGAGACACTTGATTTTGTTTCTGTTTAATAAAGTTTACATATTTTATGTACCATAATGCACTATACTTGTAAAAATATATATTTTGTTACATTACTGTCTTTATGTGTATCTCAGCAGGTCACCCGCTGAGTCTGTATGTAACTGTTTTTGTTGGATTTTGTGGAGTTGTGGCTCTTCTTGTTACAGGTTTCTTCTTAAGGTGTGTATATTCATTATTATAATTATAATATGTTTTTCAAAACACACACACACACACACACACACACACACACACACACACACGCACACACACATTTCAAAATCTACTTAGGTCTTTTAACGATTTTGATATTTATTTATTTATTTATTTATTGTTTTTGCAGGAGTAAGAGGCAGAACCAGAACAGAAAGACAGACAATCATGACTTTCAGGTGAGCTGATTCAAGAACTCCCAAAAATTGGTCAGAGAGTGATGTCCCCTTAAAGACTACATATCTCCATTTCTACTTCTGCCTGTAGATGGCAGTGTAGGACTGAGATGTGAGGAAAAACAAGTAACTAACAAATAAGCAAAACACAACATGTAATGTGGGTGTAAGAAGAGTTTGTTTGCTGACCATCCTCTGTGCAGAATGCTGACCCTAAAGATGACACGTACACAGCTCTTGACCTGACAACCATGACTAATGATAATGTGTATGAATTCCTAGGAGTAAGTATCTCTACTAATTTAACATTGATATTTTTCATCCTTTTGCTATTTATTAACCCATTTTTTTTTTTTTTCAATCTCACACAGAATGTTCATCCTAGTCCTCCAGTTGATACATCCAAATCGGGATGCTCTTACTACGAGAATGTCGCAGTAAGTTCTAGACATTACATTCAACGACACTCAGAGTGTGACAAACATAGTAATCTGATACTGACAGGATTTTTAGTGAAATGTGTGAGACCTAGTTATAATAAATCAATGGAAACTAAGAACTATAAAACACAGCTCTAACTCTAACATTATGGTGTTTGACTACAATAATAACTACATATATGTCTTTTTGGCTTGTACTTTGTTGCAAAGCTATTGTTGTCCATTATAGCCTAAGACATCTACAGCAAGAAGTAATTAGATTGTTGAAGCAATATAGTTAAAGTTTGGCCCCATTATTTGGCAAACCATCAATTTTCAATTGGATTTTGTCACCAATATCTTCGGGGATCCTTAGTCATACATGTGGCTATATAAGTATTTTATGTATATGAGGCAAATCAAAATATGACAAAACCAAAGAGTAATTGAATCTTAATGTATTCTGCAAAAAGTCACTTCCCAATGTCCAATTTTCTTTCAGACTTTGAAATCCACGATGAATACTGATCAACACTGACACAAGTGATCCCCAACTACAGTTGTCATGCGACTTCTTCACCAGTCCAGAGACTCAACGTTCATCTTACCTTTTATCACTGTTGAAATCGAGCTTTGCATGTTACACAGGCAGCTTTTAACTTTACACACAGGTAGAAGAATTCCTCAAGCTTTGTGCCTGGACAGTGACCAAAATTTAGTGACCAAATAATCAAATAGAATTCAAACACTAGGGATGCTCAGTCTTTGTCCTGGATATCTGCCACCCTGGAAAGCTCAGATCCAACACACCTGGTTCTGAATGTAGTTGTGTTATAACTGAAGTTTGGGGGGAGGAGCATGGCTGAAACCCAACCTTCTTCAAATCTAACACCCTATAAATTCACATCCTCACCTTCCATTCCCGTGAAGAAGTGTTCGCAATCCCCACCGCCACCCCATCTCCTCCCTGTTCCACAGTCCGGCATCAGTCTTACTACACCTATGAGGGGGGATCTGGCCTTCTAGCTACAGGCAGAAGCTGCCCAGACCTCCAGCCTATGTTCTCAGTTTCCCCCCCTCCCTCAATCAATCTTCCCTCATACTACCACCAAATGTTGAAGGCATGGTCTGAGCTCACAAATGTTCAGATTATCCTGAAGGTCTTCATTACATGTAGCAGGCATGCTACATTAGAGTTCAGACCCTTTGCTATCTTAACTCAGCAGTGTGGTAGATTCAGACAGGACCAGAACCGAGTATCCCAGGTTTACACGTTATTGAAGCTGATGTATGAGAACATAAACAGGTGAATGCTGTCTAGTGGAAAGTACTTCTTAACACATCTATATTGAAACATTCCACTGAATATGAAACCAACTACAACTGGAGCCTGTGCCATCATATTCCTGCTTGTAACTTTCCTTTTGTTGCTTATTACCCAAATTAAAGATTAAACAATACACTTTTTGCCTTTTTATTAACAGAGATTATAGGATTAATAGTGTTGTTAACATGCACAGTAGGAACAATGATGAAATGATGAAAATAAGCTTATACTGGTCACTGAGTGAACCACAGTGAGGTGAATATAGATACTAGAAGATGGTCAACACTTTCTGTATTGCCCTAATGGTATTGGTACAGATCAGTTAAATACTGGCTGATCATCTGCTTGCAAATTTTAATTTCTAACCCCACCCATCCCTGCAAATTCCTTTTCAACATTTATTAACACTTAAACCACATTGTGAGTTCAAGTTGGGTGTGTTTGGTGTAGAATACTGGAGAAAAGCAGAAGTTAGCAGCTCTGCATAAATGTGCAGTGCAGTGCATCGCTAACAAACTCAGACTGTGCCCTTACATGATTACTAATGCCATTGTTTTTGCTACTTACACAGACAAGCACTCAGCCACACAGACACTCACACAGTTTACAACAGGGCTACTAAACATGCGCCCTCTTTTTGAGGCCCTCTGCAAATGTTGTGGTCTAAGATGTAAGTAAAATAATCTAATATCAGATTTTCTTAGACATTTTCCCTTTTTCTACCATGTTGTTGTGGCAATACTGTTGGACACTTTGTTGGGCAATGGATTAAGTAAATAATAAACCAGTCTTCAATCAACAAATAGAAGTTTGCTGAAAGAGGTGAACTGCCAACATTACCACCACTTTAGAAATACACACAATGCATTCAGAAAATCTTCAGACCCTTTCATGTTTCATATTTTGTTATGTTGCAGCAAATCTATTGCACTGACATAGGTATTCAGATCCCTTTACTCAGTACTTATTTGAAGCACCTTTGGCATAAAAGCCTCTTCTTGGGTATGATGCCACAAGGTTTGCACACCTAGATTTGGGGATTTTATGCCATTATACCTCCTTTGCAGATCTTCTAAAACTCTGTCAGGTTGGATGGAGACCATCGCTGTACAGCCATTTTCAGGTCTCTCCAGAGGTGTTTGTTTGGGTTCAAGTCAGGGCTCTGGCTGGGCCACTCAAGGACATACACAGAGTTGGCCTTAAGCCACTCCTGTGTTGTCTTGGCTGTGTGCTTAGGGTCACTGTCTTGTTGGAAGGTGAACCTTCAGCCCAGTCTGAGGTCCTAAGTGCTCTGGATCAGTTAGTATCAGTTAGTTCTGATATCTGCTGAAAAACAACCCTACAACATGATCCTGCCACCCCCATGCTTCACTGTAGGGATGGGACTGGGCAGATGATGGGCAGTGCCTCATTTCCGCCAGACATGATGCTCAGAATTGAGGCCAAAAAGTTCAATGTTGGCTTCATCAGACCAGAGAATCTTGTTTCTCACAGTCTGAGAATCCTTTAGGTGCTTTTTTGCAAACTCTGGGTGGGCTTCCATGTGTCTTTTACTGAGGAGAAGATTCTGTCTGGTCACTCTGCCATGAAATCCAGATTGGCAGAGTGCTGCAGTGATGGTTGACCTTCTGGAAGTTTCTCCCATCTGCACACAGAATCTTTGGAGCTCAGCCAGAGTGACCATTGTGTTCTTGGTCACCACCCTTATCAAGGCCTTCTCCCTTGATTACTTAGTTTGGTGGGGTGGCAAGCTTTAGGAAGAGTCCTGGTTGTTACAAACCTTTTTCATTTAAGAATTAAGGAGGCCACTGTGTGTTTTTGTAGCCTTCTCCAGATCTGTGCTCTACAGGCAGTTCTTTCCTCCTCATGGCTTGGTTTTTGCTCTGATACACATTGTCAGCTGTGAGACCTTACAGGTGTGTGTCTTTCCAAACCATGTCCAATCAACTGAATTTACCACAGGTGAACTTAATCAAGGTGCAGAAACATCTCAATGATGATCAAGAGAAATGGGAGGCCCCCAGAGATAAATTTCAAGTGTTATAGCAAAGGGTCTGAATACTTATGTCCATGTGAAATTTTAGTTTTTCCTTTTTGATACATTTGCAAAAAAAATCTAAAATTCAGTTTTCACTTGGTTATTATGGGGTCTTAAGTGCAAAGTGAAAGGGTCTGACTTTCCAAATGCATTGTATATAAATTTTTAATTAAAGGGTCAATTTGTGGATAAGACAGTGCATATTTTCTTTTAGCTTGTACTGTGTAATAGTTGTATGACTAAAAGGACATAACAAAAATATTGTTTATAATTATGCAATTTAATACTGATAACTACAAAAAAACAAGCCTAGAAATTTTAAGCATTTATGTAGTTGCATAAAAATGCTTCAGAAATATTATAAAGGAATTGTCTACATCCTGTTTACATGATTAAATAGTTATTTACGATCTTACTACTCGGTGATGCACACGCTTTTCTTTAATTAGTAAATTATTATTAATTGGTTATATATGTCATGGCTGTTAGGATAAACTTGCAACGTTACAGAAGTAGACAGTCTCATGAGTGTCATGAGTCACCTCTAGTTCCCTCGATCCTCCGTTTTTTCCACCTTTTCAGTTCCAGGCAGTCTAAATACAGTGTAAACAGAGATGTTCTGTTTTTTTCTGAATGTTTCGAGGATCGTAGTGCTCTGATCACTCACTACACGAGCTACAGAGACACCAGGAGATCGTGCTGGACCAAAACACGCGCAGTATGTGATATTTATAGAGAGTCAAAACAGAGACATCATATCAGGATCCTGAGCAGATTGTGGGTCGTTTTCTGAGCTCGAGTACTCACTGATACTTGTCTGCAGCTCAAACATCTCCAGAGTGTTCTGATAGGTGTATCATTTCTGTACATTCAATGGTTTTTAAGTTATAAAGCTTAAAAACCAGATAAGATTGAGTGGATTTTGTGTGCTTTTAAATGGTGCACTAGTAAAGGTGTTGAAATGCCAACCATACGATATAAACCAAAATCACTAATGATACTGATTATTATCCAGTGAACTGATCACCAAACTGAAAGCAACACTCAGTCTGTAGTATGTATTCATGAAATTACCAGTGCTTGCCTGTAGATGGCAGTACAGGTTAAGGTATGTGACTGTAACGTCCTGTCGCAGGTAAAAAGGTGCTGATTCTGACCTGTACAGTGAGAGCAGCCCTGCGACTGAAACTCTTAACCTCCTTGCTTAAAAGTACTAAATATAAAGTTGTTTTATAATGAGAAAATACATTTTCTATTTGCACATGTTTACATAATACATAAATAAATAAATAAATAAACAAATAAATAAATAGTTGGTAAATGTAAATTCATTGACTGCTCATTAGTGTCAGTGGACACCCTTCACTTTTACATGGAGCTTTGTTAACCCCTGCCTTACTGTGGCCCATAACTCTGCACAGTACCATAATACATCTTACTGTAATAGTTGGTTGTATCCTCAGAACCCACAGACATCCATTCATCATTTTGGCTCTTTTCTCACTGAATCTATTATCTGCTCTCTTGTGATTTATTCTATTTATATTCTCATTTTATTTTATTTTTAATTATTTATTATCTCTTATTTAACATCTTATTATCTTTAAAATGTTGTAAATAGTCTGTGTACTTATTTGATTGACAAAGAAAGAAAACAAGTATGTTTGTGTTTTGCCTGTGTTAAATCTTAATACAACTTATTAATTACGTTTTTGCAGTGTGAGAGTAACTAGTGCTGAGAGTATCACTATGGACATGAATTAATTTAGTCATGTAACATGGGACATTGAGAACACTCTCAGGAATGTTTTACAAGAACTGCCTTTAAATGCTAAATATTTCATTATATAAAATGTGTGGTTTTATTTGCAGGTCATCTTAAGTGCATTGAGTGCAAAATGTTCAGTGTGACAATCAGATCAAGAAGGTTATCAGGCATTTTCCTTCTTTAGTTGTTCTGCCTTCTTTTTAATTTTTTTTTTAATTATATTTTGTGTTCTCTGCGCAGTATCCACAGCATCCAGCAGAGGGCAGCATCATCCCCAACACATAACTTTCCATTATGCCTCTCAGTTTCCCCATCAGCTACAGTTACTGAACAATCATGACCCACAGTAAAAGTTCTGCATACATCTACAGACAACTTTGTCAGGTAGAGCAAATCTTTTTATATACAGATGCTCTGAATGGCACTGTGTCAAAAGAAAAAAAGAATACCCCACAATGTGTGACTATATGCATTTTTTACATTTTTTGTTTGCAAAGTTTTGCATTTTTTTTGATGTACAGTGCATTTTGCAGTTTATGATACACAAACAAATGAACAAACAAATAGAACTATTTTTCAGAGCAGATATAGCACCACCCTAAGAAACACTGAGGCCATGCTGTGAGCTTTCACACGTCATGTCACAAAACTGTGGTTAACTCTATTCGTTTTACATAAGGGGAAGTAGGTCTTCCAGTGAATCATATACCACGCTGCCATTGAAAACAGTAGTTCTCAGAATCTCTTCAGTCCAGAGTCAAACTCTCTTCACTCCAGAGCTCTTCTTCATACTTTCCTCTGAAGGCCATATACAGAGATGGTGAGTTAATATTCAGTATACTCTCCTCTCTGTAAGACTCTGCTTGCTGAACTGTCAGTCGATGCTGATTTAGAACACATCAGTGATGTGAACACACATTTGAACCCATTCTAACCTTTTTAGATGTGCTCAATGCTGCTGTGGGCATCAGTGAAAACAGTTGGGCTGCTTTTTCTTGCCATACCAGGTGAGTATTTTTTATCTGTTTTCTAAACAGTGGCAGGGGCAGGACTGGGGACTATGGTGCAGGGGGCAGGCAGCTAAAGTTTCCGCAAATATTAATCTATTTTTTTTTTTTATTTTATTTTTTTTATTGGGCCCCTCAAGTCTTAGACTGTTCTTGGGGAGTGCTGGGAGATTTTCTGGCCCGTTGGACCATCCAGGCCAGTTGCAATAATGATCAACTAAACTAGATCACAGCACAGCCACATCTATTAAGAAAATAATAATGATAATAATATAGCATTTTTCATGCCAGTGGCAGCTCAAAGTGCTTTACAGACAGGTGATAAAACATAGTTGTACAAGAAATTATACGTATTTATTTAGAATCTGAAGAAAATGAAACAGATTGCATTAGAAGATAGATAAACACCACGAGATGTAGAGTTTTAATTAAATGCTGAGTTAAAGAGATTGGTTTTTAGATGCTTCTTAAAAATGAGCACTGATCTTGACTGTCTAATAAAAGGTAGAATTGAGTTCCACAGTTTAGAAGCATAATAACTGAAAGAGTCTCTCCATGTTGTCTGTATTTTACAGAGGGTATTTGTAGAAGGCCACTATCTGCAGATCTTAGATTACATGCTGGAACATAAACAGACAGACACTCTGTGATGTAAGCTTTAAAAACTAGTCGCAGAACTTTAAAATCTATCCTGAATGAAACAGACAGCCAGTGCAGCTCTTTTAAAACAGGACTGATTTGATCTCTCTGTTGTTATGATGCTGATGCACTTTGTACGAGTGGTAAAGGATGTATCGTTTTCTTAGCAAGTCCAGCAAGAAGATCATTACAGTGATCAACTCTGCTTGTAACAAATGCAGTTTCTCTGTGTCACTCTGAGATGGAAAAGGCTGAACTTTAGTGATATTTCTCAGATAATAAAAAGCTACTTCAGTAACTGCGCTTACATGTGGGATAAAATAGAGCTCAGAGTCTAAGATCACACCTGGGTTTCATACAGATGTCAACAAACCCCTTCCACTGCCTATTCCACTGCCCCCAAACTCTCAAGCAGTTGGTCTTTTGAAAGCACATACACAGTGTACACATAATAAATGGCATTAGATCAGAGACCTGCAGTAGAACTAGCTGATAAGCTAATTTAGCTAGTCAGCTAGACTGTAGCATTGTGGTTTGTGTTCATAACTAAGCAAAATGGATGAGAAGGAGAGAAGGTGGAGCCGTGATAACTAATTCAGCAAGGGAGCAACACGTCAGTCTTTAAGCTCTTCCACTCACCTGAGGCCAGTTACACCAAAAGGCCTTATGAGTGGTCATAAGCTAAGCGAGTTGTACCAACTGGCCAAAAGCTGAAAAAGACCAGGTGCAGCTTTTACAGTAAAGTCAAATTGTAGACCTTTTCTAGGCTATTTAGACCTCCTTAAACAAGCTAGCTCTTTGCTTGTCAAAGTGCTGCTCCACACCACAACAGTTAGGGGACGCAATCCAAACTGCATTCTACTGCACTAAATAGCATGTAAAAAAAAGTGCACCACCAATAAAAGGGCAATCATTAGCATGGTGTGTAAAGTATTTAAGTGGGTGGTTTGTAAAACAGGGACTTTCTCTGCTACAACTCGAGTCACTGGCATAGTGTGCACAGCTCTTAAACAGCTTCACTAACTACTAACTTCTATGAATAGTACATGGTTAGTAACTACTTACCCCAATTTTCTTCCATGCATTTGGTAGCCACCTTGTGTGATTAAGTCCTCGTCGTGATCGTATGATAGATGCAGAACAATGTAGAAAGTGTTCAAATCAGAGTCGTTCTTCCTAAAGTCTAAAGCTAAAAATATGTCTTCCCACAACATACAGCGTATGCCTAAAATGCACTGTACCTTATGTCCTGGTATTATTGCACTATTCATATTTGCACAGTGAATTACTGCACTATTTGCACCGACAGTTACTTCACAAGTTTACTCTACATGCTTATCTTTTTACATATGCTGCTCTCAGAGATGGAGACAGCTGTTAAGATGTTTATTAATCAGTGTTACTTTAAGCAGACTCCATAATCTGATCTAAAAGTTTCACTGCTGGTTAAATTACTTCTGCTTTTGCTAATAGCAGGTATGTATGTGCAGCAGTTTTGCTTAGTAACATAGGTTACAATCGCCATTGTTACATATGTTTTTACATGAACACACACTGGTCTTTGTAGTGCCTAGATCAGGGTTTGGCAACCCAAATGTAAAGAAGAGCCATTTTGTCCTTTCAACCAAAATCAAACCACCTTGGGAGCCACAACATTTTATGTACATTTTACCATTTTGGCTGTAAACATGTCTCAGCATGTGTTAATGTACTAGTGTAGGCTAAAAAATATAAATGAAAGACAGACTTACTTTGCTCTGCTTTAACCTTTGGCTCAGTTATAGCCACTTTTCTCACATGTCCAGCAGGAAACTTTTCCTCAAAAGTAGAACAGTTTCTTGTACAATGTCTCTCAATGTGCAACTTTTTACGAGGCTGAAGTAACTTCTCATTTGCCAGGGTCTTGTTCGAATTTTCCAGTTTCACCTTAAATGGTGCCTGAGGCACCAAAATGTTGCACCATTTAAGGTGGAACAGGACGATTTGAATAAGAAACTGACTTCAGCCTTGCGACTTCTTAGTGTTTGTCAGTTTCTCATTGCAGATTAAATGCATCAGGAAATCAGCTGAATGCTTATAAATACAAATAAGTCCATTCGTCTTCAAATGATCAATGTACGTCTTAAATCTATCTCTTTGCCGTTTTGTGAGCTACTAGCTAGGTGAGATTGTCTGTTGTCTGTGTTGCTATGGTGACCAGCAGTCTGTGCAGCAATTTTCAGGGTTAAAGGGTGTATTAGCAGTTATGCATTAACTCCAACGTTTGTTAAATCTGTGTTAGAACAATCAGCAGAGCTTTATTTTACTGTGAAGGAGGATTATTTAATGTTTACCTAGAAATCGAATTCTGCTGTGGAGCTGCAACAGGGCAGAGCTGCATGTGGCTCTGGAGTAGCATGTTTCTGACCCCTGGGCTAGATGTATCTTTGGTTGGTGCAATAGGCATAAAGTCCTCTCTGTACAATAACAATAACTTTGAATTTGAAGACCTGTTTGTGTGACCAGCCCCTAATTTCAATCTATCAGAATATGTATTTATTTATTTATTTATTATTAATCTGTTCAAAGGAGCTACATTCTCATGAGAGAATCATCAGGAAAGCCACATTTACTCCATATATCTACCAATTTAATATCTGCTGATTTATCTGCTGATCTGCTGCTATTTAATATTTGCTGATCTATCTTCCCACAACATACAGCATTTACCTAAAATGCATTATAAAATGCTCCCTTAGTGTTTGAGGTAATGAACATGCACAATAAGTGTATTTTCACTTTGTTTTCTCCTACCAGTCAATGAAAACTGTTGTGGGCTGCCAGTGAATGCTGTTAAAAAGCTTGAGGACCCCTGACTTAAACATTTTAATGTGCATAAAGCGCCACTCCATTATAAACAAAAGCTAGTGGGCGAAGTGGCAACCCTGAGAGCACCGACTCAATTGAGACATAACAATAGTGAATAAACAAGCAAATTACATTGTCATTTTTTACCATTATGTTTTATTGAAAGTAATTTTTGCATGGCAGGCATGACTTGCTGTTGCACTGGGACCCATAAGATCCTATTTACAGCTGTTTCTATCTATTTTTTCAATAGATTATCAAAAAACAGAACTTTCACGTAATAGGCTTATAATGGTCTTCCTCTTTCTTCAAACGCAGAAGTTCAGTACATTTGTAGAGCACAGACTTTCACAATAGCATAATGTTGTTTTATTTATTTATTTAAGCATGAACCTAAAATGCTAATAGTGACTGGATCTTAACACATTACCTTTCCCACCATTCATTTATTATATTTTTTGTAGCCATTATGCACAAGGGTAGCACTTCATATGGATCCAGTATTCATAATGCTTTATGAATGCATCTATTTGGGTATTGAATGGCATGCATAATGCATTACAATGCCTGAAATAAGCTTGTGTAAATTGCTTATAAGCAGTTATAGCTACATCTATAAACCTTTATAAAACAAAAGTATATGAAAGAAATCTGCAAGGACATTTTTCAACACATCCAGTGTTGAGTCTGGTTGAAGTCTGGTTGAAATTGGTTGAATTGTCTGCTTTTTATGATCCAAGTAATTGCAAACACATTCAATGATGTTGAGGTCATTTAATACTTTTGAAATCTAAAGTTTTGGAAGCTCATGTTTGTTTTCTTTTTTTTTCTCTTGAAATATTGGGTAAGGGCTGGACATACAATTCAGCTGTGATTCTACTGTACATGGAATACAGCAGTGCTTATCCTGTACCTAAAATTCAGCTATGATTATACTGAACGTAAAATTCAGCTGTGTTTATACTGTACCTAAAATTCAGCTAAGATTACACTAAAAGATAAAATTCATCTGTGCTTGTACTGTATCTAAAATTGAGCTGTGCTTGTACTGCATATACAATTCAGCTGTGTTTATACTGAACATAAAAATCTGCTGTGATTATACTGAACATAAAATTCAGCTATGATTATACTGAACGTAAAATTCAGCTGTGTTTATACTGAACATACAATTCAGCTATGATTATACTGAACGTAAAATTCAGCTGTGTTTATACTGAACATAAAAAATCTGCTGTGATTATACTGAACATAAAAATCTGCTGTGATTATACTGAACATAAAATTCAGCTATGATTATACTGAACGTAAAATTCAGCTGTGTTTATACTGAACATACAATTCAGCTATGATTATACTGAACGTAAAATTCAGCTGTGATTATACTGAACATACAATTCAGCTATGATTACAATGAACGTAAAATTGAGCTGTGTTTATACTGTACATAAAATTGAGCTGTGATTACACTGAAGATAAAATTGAGCTGTGCTTGTGCTGTACATAAAATTCAGCTGTGATTACACTGAAGATAAAATTGAGCTGTGCTTGTACTGTATATAAAATTGAGCTGTGCTTGTACTGTGTATACAGTTCAGCTGTGATTATACTGAACATAAAAATCTGCTGTGATTATACTGAACATAAAATTCAGCTGTGATTTATACTGCACAATAAAATTCAGCCATGCCTGTACAGTATATACAATTCAGCTGTGCTTGTACTGAATATAAAATTCAGCTGTGATTATACTAAACATAAAATTCAGCTGTGATTGCACTGTACATAAAATCCAGCTGTGATTATACTGCACAAAAAAATTCACCAGTGCTTGTTTCACTAAGGTTTTGCAAGCTTGTGACCTCGAGTCCAAAAGTAACTCTTCTACTGCTTCTCTGACCTCTTATGCACAGAATGTTCTTTTAAAGGAGAAAATGAACTTTTCCTGGTTAAAAAAACATGATTCAAAACATAATATAGTATATCACAAATTAAAAAAGTATAAAATAAAATAGTCTAAAATAATAAAATAATAATGGTCAAAAAAAAAAAAAAATCTTCATGTGTTTCAGGGTCTCTGGGTCAGGATCGGACCGTGACTCACATCCCAAGCAAAATATGTGCACTTCATCATACCTCTGTGGTGTTACCCTGCAAACTCACTTACCCTAGTAGTGAAGTGGTCACTACTTCTGTATGGCACTATAAGAAGCAGAAGAATGTGGAGCCTGTGGTTGTTTCTGTGGTCCGGGCATTTGGAGAACATGTGGAGGACTGCTCTCTCCCCCTGAATAATGTGATGCAGGGAAATGCTGGCATCTATCAGTTTAGCTTCATGACCAACAGCTCCACACAGAACCTGACCAATGAAGACGGAGTAACGCTGGAGATTACAGGTGAGAAATTTACTCATCCAAAGCCCAAGGCACACATACAAACTCAATTCCAAACAAACTGGGACAGAAGGTACAATGTAAATAAAAACAGAAAGCAGTGATCTATAGATCCAGATCTGTGGCCTGTATTTGACACAGTATTAAGACATTTAAAATTTTATCCTGTCAACTTCTCTCTGCGTGGCTTCAAGCTAACACACACACACACATACACACACACACATAGTGTAGAAGTGACTTATTTCTTTTACTCCACGTAGGAGCAGTGTTTCATGTGGACCGGCCTTAGCTATATTTGGAGTTTTCCCTAGACAACCAGCTAGTTAATAGGTGACCTAGGTAAGCAGTATCATTTAGCTTTGGTTTTCTTTGGTTCGTAACACTAAAGAAAGGTCCATTTACAGTCCTAATTAGAGGAGCGTCTTTCCATGTGATGTGGATCAAACACCCAGATTCTCTCCACTGGCTAAAACTCCCGGCTCTTGGCCTGCCAGTCATAGTCCTGCTTTCTCCGCCATCCACTGCGTTATCAATGCTGCCAAGAGTGCAACTAACTAATGCCGCCCACAGCCTTTGGGGAGCCACCAATCAGCTCTGACGCTGTGTGTTCACTTCCCCACCATTGCATGAACCTGGCTGCAGCCTGTATATATTTTCTGAAAACGAGCTCCGTCTCTTCTGCCCACTGTAAAGCCTCCTATAGACGAGTTGACTTCACAAGCTGCAACTCTCGCTGGAGCTTTACTGGCCTTACCATGTGTATGTATGCTTCTCTCTGGACTGACACTCTTTCCAATAGAGTTTCTCTTTAAAGTGCATGGGCCTCACATGCTCACCAAGCCACCAGTATTTCCAACGTACACTGACGCCACAGTGGTTTTGCAATTTCGTCAGTAGTTTATACCCTTGTTACTTCTCACTTCCTCAAATAAGGACATAAGTTTACAGCTTTCGTTCGTCAGATAGACTGTGCTGCTATCTAGCGGTATCAGTGTCACTGAAAAAATGAACTACAGTTTTGGTTTATATATATCATTAAATAAATAATTAGTAACTAGTTCCATAAAACAGACAAAGTATCTGTTGGTCCTGTCCCCATTGCTGGTCCTGCCCCTGTCCCCTCTGTTGACCTCTGGACCCTCTGCCTATTTTGGCAGTGCCTTCTTACCGTCTTTATCCATCCTCTGTCTTGCACTTCAGGAACCTCTCCTTAAGGGAGGGTCCTGTCACAATGTTAGACTCCAGATGGACCTGCTCATTCTGAAATGGCTCATTTTAAATTCTCCTCCAGCTTCTTCTCCAGCTCCTGGTCCTCCCTGGCTCCACCCGTTTATTACTCACACCTATTGCTGTTTCTGTACGTTCAATGCCTTGTTATTTTGTAGTTTCTCTTTGGTTTAGACCCTTGTTTGTTTTCGGTTAGGGATTTGCCTATTGCTTTTCTGCACATCCATCCTGCCCATGAACCTCATTTGTTACACCTTTTAAAGATGTTATTAATTTTATATAGTTACTCGTTAAAAATAGCATGGCACAAATAAAATCCAAAAAAAAACCCAAAAAAAAACACGTGAGTCTTAGGAGGATAAATGACCAGTACTTGTTCTTACTGTGTTCCCCTTTGGTGTCTTGGTTGCTATCAGTGTTTCGTCCTGCTTTTCAGGTGGTTTTTCCAGTCATTAACATCTTCAGCAATGCTGATTAAGGGACCACACCATTTTTTGGACAGGCTTCTTTGGACAATGGCAAATGTTAAAACAAATAAGACTGACTTGACCTAAATTCTTGCATTTTATATCATGTAAAACTTCTCTGACCGGAAAAAATAAATGTTGGAGTAAAAACAGCAATAGTGAATATGTGAAAATTAGTGGTCACTTATTGATCTTGTGAATGTTGATCATTCTTATTGTTGCCTTTCATTTCTTATTAGTGTGTTAACATTTTTCTGCAACTGATGGAGTTGAATCTTTAATGCAGACCTGAAGATGGAGATAGTGTCAAAGTCAGACGTTGTGTTGGAGGGAGAATGGGTGATGCTGTTCTGTGGCACCTGCATCCCTTCCCTCACTCTACCGACCTACATCTGGCATAAAGACGGACGTCCACACAGTCACACACATGGTGTCAACCAGCTGGAGTTACAGGAGGCCAAACCGGAGGACTCAGGCAGCTACTCATGCTCCATAAGTGGCCGCGAAGGCCTGCCCTCCTCAACTGTGAACGTCACAGTCCAGTGTAAGTCAACTGCAACCATAATATAGCACCCAAAGACTGTTGCTATTGATGGCCCCAGTTATGATAATAACAATAGGCCTCATTCACCAACCGTTCTTAAGAAGAAAGTTTGGTAAAACTTTCTATGAATGTCACCTTTGGAAGCATCTATAAAAACATTAACATGTTATAATGCATTCATAAGGCATTATAAACATAGCTATAAATATTTAGAAAAATGCATTATACATTATAGCCATGTTTATTATGCATTATGAATTGTTAACACAATACATTATAAGTACTGATCATAGCAAATTATAAGAGCTCATAAGTTGTATTTGTCCGCTCTAAGTAAAGTGAAGCGTACTGTACTAAAGCCTCCTCCAGTGTTCAGAGTGAGGCTTCAAGTTGAAGTATTTACTGAAGGATTTACTGAAACACTAAAACATACACAGTAAAGCTCATTACAGGCTTCAAATGTCAGAGTTTAAACTAGTGCTGCCATCAGTGTTTTACCCAATGTGGGAAAGTCAATGTACACCACCGTTAGCTTGGTATTTATCTTTACGCTCTCCAAGCTGGGACTGACTTCTATGGCACTGACATTATAACATGTTATTAACACTATTTATAATGCATTATATTAACATTCATAATGTATAATAAACATGGCTATAAAGTGTAATTCAGTGCAATAAATATTTATAACCACGTTTATAATGCCTTATGAATACATTATAACATGTCACAAAGATTCTGACATTCACCAGTGTTTTCTTATTTGGGATTTGTTCTTAGGTAAGAACAGAATCTACACACACTCAAGAGCACAAAGGTGTGAACAGTCCTGCTGTTTAAGAACACAACATGAATCTGATGTAGACTTTTTCTTAGGATTTTTCTCAAGAACACATTTGAGAAAAAACTTGGGATGATATTGGTGAATGAGGCCCAGTCGCTTTTACGACTGTAGTATGATTAGTCTTCCATGATTGTTCTTTAAAGCTGTTCTAAAACAATGTACAACTGAACACAGTCCACTTTGTGATAAATGATCATGAAGAAGCAACAGAGATTCCTTAAATGTATTTATCATTTACAAACATTCATTAAATTAATTATAAAACTAAATCATGTATATACATATCTAAACCAGGGCCTCCAAAGAACATCTCCGTGTCCATCTGTTCCTCTGGTGAAATGGTGGAGGGGACTTCAGTGAATCTGACCTGCAGCAGTGATGCAAACCCACCTGTGAAGATCTACACCTGGTTTAAAGTAGGTGGAACCTCACCTGTAGGATCTGGACAGACTTACAGTTTCAACTTAAACTCCAGAAGTGGTGGGTTGTACTACTGCAAGGTTCAGAATGAACATGGATCTCTTAGATCAGCTTCAGTGCCTGTCGTTTTAAATGGTGAGACCCTTGATTTGGTATCATAATGCACAACTTACTGAAATCGCTTTGCAAAATGTGTATTTTATGACATTGCTGCATCTGTGTGTATCTCAGCAGGTCACTCCATGATTCTGTATGTAGCTGTTGGTGTTGGTTTTTGTGGAGTTGTAGCTTTTATTGCTATAGGTTTCTGCCTAAGGTGTGTATATTATTATTATTATTATTATTATTATTATTATTATTATTACTACTACTACTACTACTATTATTATTAGTAGTAGTAGTAGATAGATATTTTAAAAATCACATACAATTCTGATTCAAATTTAAAAATCATATTTATTTATTTATTTATTTCCTCCTTCTTCTTCTTCTTCTTCTTCTTCTTCTTCTTCTTCTTCTTATTATTATTATTATTGTTATTATTTTGCAGGAGCAAGAGGCACAAGCAGAACAGAAAGACAGACAAACATGATTTTCAGGTGAGCTGATTCAAAAACTTCCCAAAATAGCCTGTAGATGGCAGTGTAGGACTGAAGTATGAGGAATATAGCCATGTGCAGTTGTACAATGAGTATGTACTACTAAGTGCAGATTCTGTTCAATAACAAATTTGGAAAACAAATAATTTACAAATATGTACAAATGCAACATGGAATGTAAGTGTTTATGTTTGCTGACCATTCTCTGTGCAGAATGCAGTCCCAAATGCCAAAGATGACACATACACAGTTCTTGACCTGACAACTAGGACCAATGATAACGTGTATGAAATACTCGGAGTAAGTATCTCTACTAATTTAACATTGACATTTTTCAGCCTTATGCTATTAATAAACTCATTTGTTCTGGTTTTAATCTCACACAGAATGTTCATCTTAGTCCTCCTGTTGACACACGCATATCAGAGCGCTCCGACTACGAGAATGTTGCAGTAAGTTGCATCCAACGACACTTAGAGTGTGACAAATACAGTAATTTGATAAGTTGCTAAGATTTTTTTAACAAAATGCATGTAACATAGCTTTAATAAATCAGTGGAAAGTGTAATAGTATTAAACCCAGCTGTCCTTCTAATGCTACTATGCTTGGCTACAGTGATAAGGTATGCAGTGGAATAGTAAATGGGAATAGAGAGCTAATGAAGATATGGTTTCCATGTACATAAAGTGAGGGGAAACAAGTATTCAGTGTTATTAATATTTCAGCACATATATTTACAGATGTCTTTTTACTTTACTTATAAATATAACAAAAATTATGTACTTATTAGCAATAACAATGACAAACAGTTAAAAGATGAGATTAATAAACTAAGGGGAGTTTCAGAAAACTAAAGGGTAATGCACTCACCAAAAGGGCACTCAAAGTGTTTATCTTTTATACTGATGCTGATAGATACTCAAGAGAGAACCTAATACCAAAATTACTAGCGTCATCTGAGACATGCATGTGGCAACATAAACTCAAGACTAAGCAGAAAGCAGAGTGTGAGCACCCCTTAAGTAGGGTGCCCACAGCTGTAACTGCTCAGCCCTAATTACCCCTTAGTGATGTCTCCCCTAGCGGCTGGAGGTGGCCTAGCATGAGGCTGGGACATTACAAAATTAGTAATATTGACACCTTGTTGCAAAGACATTGTTGGCTATTACAGCTCAAAACATCCAAAGCAAGAAGTAATTAGCTTATTGCAGCATTGTGGTTAAATTTGTTTAAATTTATTAAAATTGAATAGGTCTACCAAATAGAATAGCAAACCATTCCTGTTTGGCAGTGGTATTCAGACAACTATATCATTGAGCATCCCTAGTAAGACATGGCTATATAAGTACTGTATGTGAAGATAATCAAAGTATAACATTTTATGTTAATGTATTTTGCAAAAAGTCACTTCCCAATGTCTGTTTTTCTTTCAGACGTTAAATAACATGACGAATACCAGTCAATCCTGATACAAGCGATCCTCAACTAGCTGTCATGCTTCTCCTCCACCTGACCAGAGACTCAACCTTCACTTTACCTTTTATTACTGTTAGAACTCAGCTATGCATACTGCACAGGTGTCATTTAACTTTATACACAGATAGAAGAGGTTCTCAAGGTTTGTGGCTGGACAGTGACTTTAGTGACCAATATTGGAATAAAAAAGGAAAAATTAGAAATGGTCAATCCTTGTCCTGGAGGTCTGCCACCCTGGAAAGTTCAGATCCAACACACCTGACTCTAATGTTTAGGTGCCCCTGAAGGCCTTTTTTACCTAGAGCAGGTGTGTTAGGTTAGGGTTGGAGGTTAACTCAGCAGGGTGGCAGACTTTCAGCACCAGGATTAAGCATCCCTGGCTTACACATTTATTGCAGCCATTGCAGCTAACATTTAAAATGTGGAAAAATAAACAGGTGAATGTTGTGTAATGGAAGGTAGCAACCTAACAGATCTATATTGAAATATTGCATTGAGTGTGAAACCAACTGCACTCACAGTCAAAGGGGAGCCTGTGCAATCATATTTCTGCTTGTAAATTTCTTATTATTGTTTATTACCTAAATGAAAGATTAACCAATACAGCACTTGCCTTTTTGTGTATATTATTATTATTATTATTATTATTATTTATTATTATTATCATCATCAGAGAGATGGCAGTATTAATAGTGTTTTTAACATGCACATACACACTAGGGAACATGATAAAAATAGGCTTATACCGAGCGAACCACAGTGAGATGAATATATATGCTAGAATTTGGTCATCAGCTTCCTGTATTGTCCCAATGTATTGTCTGTATTGTCCCAATTTGGTATCCCAGTGCAGTAATGCAATCACTGCTAGGAGGTACAGACCAAATCTTAAAACACTATGATGTAGTGCCCCCTTTAGGCCAGTCAGTCATCTCATGTGCTTGAGGAGCAGGAGGGCATTTTACATGGAGGTGTATGTTGTGTCCAAATTTTGTCACAATCAGAGAAAAACTTAAGGATTTACAGGCACTTTTGTCAGAACAAGCCAGGCAGTTTGATTGATGTCTTGTGGCCATTCTGTGTATTCAAAGTTTTTTGGATAATCATTTACCTACAGACATTTAAGACCAAATGTGAGACAATTTGATCCACAGACTGTCATTTTTCTAACTTTGAAGAATTGCAGAACATTTTTTTTAAAGAATTTTAAAAGAGATTTATTTGAAAAAAAAAGTTAATTTCAGGACAACGTATGGAATGACAATTAAAAGGACTTATCCTTGTTTTCATAAATCAAGGATTATGGAAAAGCAAGAATTTTGAATGTAGGCCTTACAGTGCATGGGCCAAAATGTAAAACTTTGCTTTATCATGCCACCATCAGGCCTGTTGGGGACATTTCAGTTGACTGGGTAATGTTGACTGGGTAACACTTACCCTTTGTAGGTTTGTTGTTTGGATCACTTACAATGTCTTCACCCCAGTCAGTTTTAGGGAAGAAAAGGTGCTTGGACCCCTAATTATTGTAGTACCAGTGTAGCACAACAAATGTAGTTAATGCAGGAAAAACATGCCTATTGTGCTGTTGCAGTGATGATGTTTCACTAAGAACAGTCAACTCACCCCCAATCATGATTGTTGACAAGCTTACAAATTCAGAGGATATTCAGTTGTCTCTGCAATTTACAAATTCACAAGAGGAGGGCACTGTTTTGTGTGCTGGGTAAAATTAAAGACATTAACTGTGTAAATGCACATAGACATAGTTGATACTACAACACAATAAAAAGGATTCAGTGTTTTAACTTAAAAAAGTAAGTAACCTGGTTGTCTTAAATTATAGAATAATTTAAAACTTGTAACAGAATCAATACACAGTTTACTGTTCTGTTAACTTACTATTAGGAGCACACCTGACATTTTAAATTATAATAAAATAATAATTCAAAGAGGAAAAATACAACACAGACACAAAACTATGACATCACAGATGTGAATAAACCACAAATGTTTTCATACTGAGAGATTCCCATGACTAATTTGAACTCGTCTGAAAAGAATGACTCTTTAGTGCTCATAAAAATATATATTTTTAATATATTTTATTATTGAAACATACAGAAATGCAGAAATGAATCTTTAGCATTTAACAGCTCCACCCAGCATGTGAATGTGGTGAGAACACAATGCAGATCACTAACAGCCTCACACTGAGCTTAACATACTGAGTATAAGAGCTGATACACAACATTTATATCAGAATGATTTCAGCTCTTAGCATTTCATACTCTTCATAGAGAAAAGATGCTCTGCACTAAATAATACAGATATATGATTATATTAGAGATTTAGGTTTATAAAATCCAGACAGGATGTTAGCAAGAAAAGATAATACTTTCATGTTATAACTTGTCATTAGCATTTAAAATATATATACAATAGAATCAATCAACCTTTCTTTCTCTCTCTCTCTCTCTCTCTCTCTCTCTCTCTCTCTCTCACTCTCATGCAGGGGTGTTTATTATTCATGGTGATGTTCTCATATTTGGTTTCTCACAGTCTGAAAGAAGAACACACACACACACACACACACACACACACACACACACACACACACACACATTAACATACATTTCTGTATGTTACACACACACACACACACGACTAGACATGTTAAGTTCAGTTATACTGTGGCTTCAAATGTCCAAGACCACTAATGAAAATGCTTCTATTTGCATTATACAAACAAGAACAAAAAAATAATCAGATTAACGCATTTTAGTGAAAAATACACACACACACACACACACACACACACACACACACACACACACACACACACACTGGGTGGAAGCCAGGACTAAGAAATCTAAACAGAAAACTAAAACAGAATCTTTTAAATTTTAAATACTTTTAAAATGTTCTTAATAATTTATGTCTCCCTTAAAACAATAAGAAAATGTACTATTTGTACTCAGACAGAGATTAATATCACTATATTTAATATCCACTATATTTTTACAAAAGTTTTTGCTGAGATCCTGTACCGGCTCTACCAAATAAGCATGAGCAGCTGTGAGGCCCT